CTGCTTCCGCCCCCAGCACGTCAAGGATATCATCCTGCAGTCCAACCCCCTGCTGGAGGCCTTTGGCAACGCCAAGACCGTGCGCAACAACAATTCCAGTCGCTTTGTGAGTCTCTGCACACGTGCACGTGCGCGCGCACACACACACACACACAAACACACACAGAGCCAGGACAAGAGCCCCATGGAAATCCAGCAGGAAATGTCTGCTTCTGCATGGGAGACTCACTTCCTGCTTGTGGTGCATTTGAAAAAGAGTCCCCCCATTGGCAGAACTTTGGAGGCCATGACACCTCTTTGTAACATCTGTAATACTTCCCCGGCTGCATCCATGATACATCTGTTCCTAATCACAGTTTCAGGTCCAGTTTGTTCCTTCATGTGTTCCTTCATTCAACACTAATTCTAGGGGCTCCTTTGTGTCAGGTGCTTTGCTGAAAAGACAGATCTGGGTTTATGGCCTGGTTCTGTAACTGTTAGTTGTGTGGCCTGAACAAGAAAATGAAGTGACTTCCTGAGACTCCTCTGTTTACAAATCCACAGAATGGGGATAATGTTAATATTCATCTCATAGACCTCAGTAATTTCAGCATAACGCCTGCACATGAAAATGGCTTAATAATCCAGGCTCGGTGGCTCAGCCTGTAATCCCGCGCCTTGGGAGGCTGAGGTGAGTGGATTGCCTGAGCCCGCGGGTTCGAGACCCACCTGGGCAACTTGGCAGACCTGATCTCTACAATAAATCAGAAATTAGCCGGGTGTGGTAGCGCACGCCTGTAGTTCCAGCTACTTGGAAGGCTGAGGCGGAAGGATCAGCCGGAACCCAGCAAGTCGAGGCTGCGGTGGCCGGAAGCGGGCCACTGCATTCCAGTCTGGATGACAGAGTGAGACTCCAACTCAAAAAAAAAAAAAAAATGGAATCAGGCCAAGCACAGTGGCTCAAGTCTGTAATCCTAGCACTTTGGGAGGCCAAGGTGAGTGGATTGTCTGAGCCCGAGGGTTCAAAAACAGCCTGGGCAACTTGGCGAGACCTCATCTCTACAATAAATCAAAAAAGTAACTGAGCATGGTAGCACACACCTGTGGTTCTGGCTACTTGGAAGGCTGAGGCGGAAGGATCTCCTGAACCTAGAAGGTTGATGGTGGGGTGACTGTGAGCATGCCACTGCTCTCCAGCTTGGGTGACAGAGCGAGGCTCCAACTCTAAATAAATAAATAAATGGAATCATGGCCGGGCTCAGTGGCTCACGCCTGTAATCCCAGCACTTTAAGAGACTGAGGCGAGAGGGTTGCCTGAACCCAGGGGTTCGTGACCAGCCTGGGCAACTTGGTGAGACCTCGTCTCCACAATAAACCAAAAAAATTAGCCAGACATGGTGGCGTGTGCCTGTGGTTTCAGTTACTTGGAAGGCTGAGGTGGAAGGATCACCTGAGCCCGGCAGGTTGAGGCTGTAGTGATGGTGAGCATACCACTGCACTCCAGCCTGGGAGACAGAAAGAGACTCTGACTCAAAAAAAAAAAAAAAAATCATATAGTATTTGTTTTTAAACTAGGGATATAAAAGCATGGATAAACCTCACATATATATTGCATTTTATTTTATTTTACTTTACAAATAGAATAAGCATATGTTATGTATTACAGGTTTATTTGTGTAGTATGGTGATCTCATTTGTGTTGTTATTGGCTGAAGATGGAAGACAGGAGAAACAAGGAACTTCTCTGCCCTGCAGAATGGGGGACAGAGGGTTCTCTGGCTTGATCAGAACCCAGCTAGTGTCAGAGACTAAAAATAGGACATGGTGACTCACACCTACAGTCCCAGCACTTTGGCAGGCTGAGGTGGGAGGATCACTTGAGGCTAGGAGCTCAAAATCAGCCTGGGCAACATAGCAAAACCCCATCTCTTAGATACATAAATACGTTTTTTAAAAAGAAGAGACATGTGGGACTCTTGCTCTGGGCTCAGGGAGGACATACAGGAGACACACTGGATCGCTGGGATCAGGAGAATCCCAGAACTGGTCAATAAAACACGATGCTAGCCGGGTTCGGTGGCTCAGCCTGTAATCCCGCACATTGGGAGGCTGAGGTGAGTGGATTGCCTGAGCCCGAGGGTTTGAGACCCACCTGGGCAACTTGGTGAGACCTCATCTCTACAACAAATCAAAAAATTAGCCGGGCGTGGTTAGCGTGCGCCTGTAATTCCAGCTACTTGGAAGGCTGAGGCGGAAGGATCGCCAGAGCCCAGCAGGTCTAGGCTGTGGTGGCCAGGAGTGGCCACTGCACTCCAGTCTGGGCGACAGAGTGAGACTCCGACTCAAAAATAAATAAATAAAATAAAACACGATGCTTCTACATGCCTACCACAGAGCTGGGTGCCCACAGGAAGGGCTTAGAGTATCCAAGGAGAAGGAAAGGGCGTGGCTGGTCCAGAACACAGGCTGAGCAGAGACTAGAGGGAAGTAGCAGTGAACACGTGGAAGTGGGGACAGAGAAGTGAGGTCCCACGAGAGAAGGAAAGAGAGGCAGGCTCCTAAGACCTGGACAGGTCCGTTCTGTGTCGTTATGAAAAAATGTCTGAGGCTTGGTAAGTTATGAAGCAAAGAGGTTTCTTTGGCTCTCGGTTCTGCATAGCGCGGGCATCTTCTGGGCTTCTGGTGAGGCTTCAGGAAGCTTCTGGTCACGGCACAAGGCAGAGAGGGAGCAGGTGTGTCACATGGCGAGAGCGGAAGCAGAAGGCGGCACACTCCCGGCCACCGCAGCCTCGACCTGCTGGGCTCCAGCGATCCTTCCGCCTCAGCCTTCCAAGTAGCCGGCACTACAGGCACGCACTAGCACACCCAGCTTATTTTTTGATTTATTGTAGAGACGAGGTCTCACCAACTTGCCCAGGCTGGTCTTGAACCCCTGAGATCAAGCAATCCTCTCACCTCAGCCTCCCAAAGTGCTGGGACCACAGGCTGGAGTCACCATGCCCGGCCCACACCAGACTTTTTTAGACGATCAATTCTCTCATGGACTACTAGGGTGAGAACTCACTCATTACTGTGATAATGGCACCAAGCCATTCATGAGGGAGCCACCTCTATGCCCAGTCACCGCCCACTAGAACCCACCTCCAACCCTGGGTATCACATTTCTTTTTTTTTTTTTTTTGAGTTGGAGTCTCACTCTGTCACCCAGGCTGGAGTGCAGTGGCCGCTCCCGGCCACCGCAGCCTCGACCTGCTGGGCTCCGGCGATCCTTCCGCCTCAGCCTTCCAAGTAGCCAGAATTACAGGCATGCGCTACCATGTCCCACTGATTTTTTTTTTTTTTTATTGTAGAGTTGAGGTCTCGCCTGCCCAGGCGGGTCTCGAACCCGCGGGCTCAGGCAATCCACTCACCTCAGCCTCCCAAAGGCGCGGGATTACAGGCTAAGCCACTGAGCCCAACTGGGTATCACATTTCAACATGAGATTTGAAAGGGACAAACATCCAAACTATATCAAGACCTAGGCCGGTTGCAGTGGCTCACACCTGTAATCCCAGCACCTTAGGAGGCTGAGAGGGGAGGATCACTTGAGCCCAAGAGTTCAAGCTCTCATCTCTACAAAAAATCAGAAATTAGCCAGGTGTGGTGGCGCAGGCCTGTAGTCCCAGCAACTCTGGTGACTGAGGCCAAAGGATCTCCTGAGCCCAGGAGGTGGAGCCTGCCGTGAGCTGCGATTGTGCCATTGCACTCCAGCCTGGGCAACAGAGTGAGACCCTGAAGAAAACAAACCGAAAAACCATCCCAAATTCTTCCCCCACCTATACCCCGGGGACCCTGAAGGGCTGACGGGGTTCTCTCTGACTCAGGGCAAGTACTTTGAGATCCAGTTCAGCCGCGGCGGGGAGCCGGATGGGGGTAAGATCTCCAACTTCCTGCTGGAGAAGTCCCGCGTGGTCACGCAGAATGAAAACGAGAGGAACTTCCACATCTACTATCAGGTGCGGGGTGACAGGGGCCCCGTGGACCTGGGGCAGGGAAAGTCCCAGAAGCCCCAAGGGGAGACTGTGGACAAGCTAGCACCCGAGCACCCACCACAGGGAGGACGAGGGGACCCCAGGACTCTGCCGGGTGCATGAGTGTCACACGCCCTGCAGCTGCTGGAAGGGGCCTCCCAGGAGCAGCGGCAGAACCTGGGGCTCATGACACCCGACTATTATTACTACCTCAACCAGTCGGACACCTACAAGGTGGACGGCACCGACGACAGGAGCGACTTTGGTGAGACTCTGGTGAGCACTGGCCGCCACACTAGCCCCCAGCCAGACCCTTGACCCGGGAACCCTCTCAAGTTGCAAGTGAGAATTTATGGTCTGACGCAGTGGCTCGTCCCTGTCATCCAGCACTTTGGGAGGCCGAGGCAGGAGGATCGCTTGAGGCCAGGAGTTTGAGACCAGCCTGGGCAACAAAGGGAATCCTTGTCTCCCCAAATAATACAAAAGTTAGCCGAGCATGGTGGTGCCCGCCTGTAGTCCCAGCTGCTTGGGAGGCTGAGGCAGGACGATCTCCTGAGTCCAGGAGGTCGAGGCTGCAGTGAGCCGTGATCTGTCACTGCACTCCAGTCTGGACAACAGAGTAAGACCCTGACTTTAAAAAAAAAAAAAAAAAAAAAGCCCAGAGAGGTACAGGACTTACCCAAGGCTACATAGCAAGTGGGTGAAAAAGGCAGGGACACAATTGTCCTGACTCCGTGAGTCTGGGCTGTGATGCTGTGCCCACAGAGCGCCATGCAGGTCATCGGGATCCCGCCCAGTGTCCAGCAGCTGGTCCTGCAACTTGTGGCTGGAATTCTGCACCTGGGGAACATCAGCTTCCGTGAAGACGGAAACTATGCCCGGGTGGAAAGTGCAGACCGTGAGTGGGCCTAGTGCTGTCCTGGGAGGGTGAGAACCCATGAAGAAAATGTCCGTGTCACTGGACAAGACGGGAGCCGGGTGCGCTGGCTCATGCCTGTAATCCCAACACTTTGGGAGGCTGAGGTGGGAGGATCACTTAAGTCCAGGAGTTCAAGACCAGCCTGGGCAACATAGCACAACCTCCTCTCTACAAAAAAATCAAAAACTGGCCAGGCTCGGGGGCTCAGCCTGTCATCCCAGCACTTTGGGAGGCTGAGGTGAATGGATTGCCTGAGCCCGCTGGTTCAAGACCAGCCTGGGCAACTTGGCGAGACCTCGTCTCTACAACAAATCAAAAATTAGCCAGGCATGGCTGCACACACCGGTAGTTCCAGCTACTTGGAACGGTTAGCCCTAAGCCCACCCCAGTGTCACCTAAGCCCAGCAGGTCAACGCTGGGGTGGCTGTGAGTATGCCACTGCACTCCAGTCTGGTTGACAGACTGAGACTCCAACTAAAAAAAAAAAAAAAAAAAAGCCAGATGTGGTAGTGCACACCTGTAGTCCCAGCCACTCGGAAGGCTGAGGCGGGAGGATCATCTGAGCCCAGGAGTTCAAGGCTGCAATGATCTGTGATCGTGCCACTGCACTCCAGTCTGGGTGACAGAGTGAGACCCTGACTCAAAAATGGGGGGAAAGGGAGGTTCCCACATGAGGTCGAGGGCCTGACCAGCTGCTGCCTGTGCCCTGGCCTTGGCCCTGGCAGTCCTGGCCTTTCCAGCCTACCTGCTGGGCATTGACAGCGGGCGGCTGCAGGAGAAACTGACCAGCCGTAAGATAGATAGCCGCTGGGGCGGCCGTAGTGAGTCCATCGACGTGACCCTCAACGTGGAACAGGCAGCCTACACCCGCGACGCCCTGGCCAAGGGGCTCTACGCCCGTCTCTTCGACTTCCTCGTGGAGGCAAGTAGGGTCCAGCTGGAAGGGGGGGGTCACACATATTTATTGAAGCCAGTTATGGTGGCTCATGCCTGTAATCCCAGCACTTTGGAAGGCTGAGGTGGGAGGATTGCTTGAAGCCAGAGTTCGAGACCAGCCAGGGCAGTAGAGTGAGACCCTATCTGTACTAAAAATTAAAAAATTAGCCGGGCATGATGGCACATGCCTGAAGCCCCAGCTACTCAAGAGGTGAGGGGGGAGAATGGCTCGAGCCCAGGAATTTGAGGCTGTGGTTAGCTATGATCATGCCACTGTATTCCAGCTGGGGTAACCTAGGGAGATCCCGTCTCTTAAAAAAAAAAAAGACTGAGCCGGGCTTGGTGGTTCAGCCTGTAATCCTGCGCTTTGGGAGGCTGAGGTGAGTGGATTGCCTGAGCCCGCGGGTTCGAGACCCGCCTGGGCAACTTGGCGAGACCTCATCTCTACAATAAATAAAAAAAAATCAGCCGGGCATGGTAGCGTGTGCCTGTAATTCCAGCTACTTGGAAGGCTGAATCGGAAGGATCGCCGGAGCCCACCAGGTCGAGGCACTCCAGTCTGGGTGACAGAGTGAGACTCCAACTCAAAAAAATAAAAAAAGACTGGGCACGGTGACTTAAACCTGTAATCCCAGCTCTTTGGGAGGCCGAAGTGAGGGCATTGCCCGAGCCCATGGGTTTGAGAACAGCTTGGGCAACTCGGTGAGACCTCATCTCTACAATAAATCAAAAAATCAGCCAGGCATGGTAGCGCACACCTGTAGTTCCAGCTACTTGGAAGGCTGAGGCGGAAGGATCGCCTGAGCCCTGCAGGTCGACGCGAGGGTGGCCGTGAGCGTGCCACTGCACTCAGCCTCGGCAATGGAATGTGACTCCAACTAAAAAAAAAAAAATGTATGGAGCACCTGGTGCATGCCCAGTCAGTAGGGAAGACAGACTCGACTATCACAATCTCGCCAATTCCTGGGAGGGGTGAAGGGTGGGTTTCAGCTGAGGAGTCCAGGGAAGAGGAGGCTCCTGGAGTTGTCCAGGGCCGGACTAGGATAGCCACGTGAAGACAGAGAGGGGTGGAGCGCTATTGAGGCGAAAATGTGAGGGAGCTTATCTAGTATATCGTGTGTGTGCCAGGCAATGCTCCAAACATCTTATGGGCCCCAATTTTAAGCCTTGGGGAAAGCTCCTAAGGTGTTGCTGTTGTCGATCCATTTTAAAGATGAGAAAATAGGGCTGAGTGTGATGGCATGCACCTGTGGCCCCAGCAACTCGGAGGCTGAGGCGAGAGGGATGGCTTGAACCCAGGAGTATGAGGCTGCAGTGAGCTATGATTGTCCCACTGCACTCCAGCCTGGATGACAGAGCGAGACCCTGTCTCTTAGGGGGGAAAAAAAGGCCAGACATGGTGGCTCACGCCTGCCGTCCCAGCATTTTGGGAGGCAGGAGAGTCACTTGAGCCCAGGAGTTCAAGACCAGCCTGGGCAACCTAGTGAGGACTCATCTCTGCAAAAAATGCAAAGTTTAGCTGAGCGTGGTGATGCACGCCTATAATCCCAGCTACTTGGGAGGCTGAAGCAGAAAGATCGCCTGAGCCCAGGAGGTAGAGGCTGCAATGAGCCGTGATCGTGCCATGGCACTCCAGCCTGAGCAACAGAGTGAAACTCTGACTCAAAAAACAAATAAAAAATATACCGCGGATCTAAATTTCCGCTAATTCACTTTTTTAAAAAAAGAAAATTTAAAAAATTAAAATAAAGGTGAATTTTTAAAAAGAGGTTGAGCCACAGAGTCACCCCCGAGTCAGGAACCCCAGTGCATCAACGCTTGGGTTTCTACTCTGAATGTCTGACTGATGGAGGGAGGAGGTTGCACGCAGATCTGGGGAGACAGGAGAGGGACCAGCGTGTGGAGACATGGCCATGAACTTGGCTAAGAGCCTGTCTAGGGAGGGGCGGGCAGGGGTGTGACTCCGGCTGGTCGCCACTGACCTCCTGGCCTGCACACAACAGGCCATCAACCGGGCGATGCAGAAGCCCCAGGAGGAATACAGCATCGGCGTGCTGGACATCTATGGCTTCGAGATCTTCCAGGTAAGGACCCCGCCCCTGACCCACATCCCAGGACAGCCCAGTGGCCACCAGCGTCAGCTGCTGAACGAAGGTCCCATTCCTCCCTTGGCAGAAAAACGGCTTTGAGCAGTTCTGCATCAACTTCGTCAATGAGAAGCTGCAGCAAATCTTCATTGAACTCACCCTGAAGGCTGAGCAGGTGGGTAGCCAAGACAGGGGACTCTGGAGGTGAGGCCAAACCGTGAGGATTGCCAAGCAACCAGGGGACACACCAGCCCCTCCGCCCAGTCCTGCATCTCTCTACTTACCTGTTCAGCCTCCCCCATAATATTCCCTTCAAAAGAGGCCTTCTGGACAGGTGCGGTGGCTCACACCTGTAATCCTAGCACTTTAGGAGGCTGAGATGGGAGGTTGGCTTGAGCCCAGAAGTTCAAGACCAGCCTGGGCTACATAGTGAGACCTCGTCTCTACAAAAAATTGCTGGGTGCGATGGCTCATGCCTATAATCGCAGCACTTTGGGATGCCAAGGTGAGAGGATTGCCTGAGCCCAGGGGTTTGAGACCAGCCTGGGCAACTTGGCGATACCTTGTCTCTACACTAAATCAAAAAATTAGCCAGGCGTGGTGGTGCATGCTTATAGTTCCAGCTACTTGGAAGGCTGAGGAGGAAGGATCATCTGAGCCCAGCAGGTCGAGGCTGCGGTGGCCAGGAGCATTCCACTGCACTCCAGACTGGGTGACAGAGTGAGACTCCAACTCAAAATATGTAAAAAATTAAAAAATTAGCCAGGCGTGGTGGCACATGCCTGTGGTCCCAGCTACTTGGGAGGTTGAGGAGGAAGAATCATCTGAGCCCAGGGATTGAGGCTGTGGTGAGCCAGGATCATGCCACTGCACTCCAGTCTGGGCAAAAGAGTTAGGCCTTGACTCAAAAAAGAGAGATCTTCTACCTCTAAAACTTTGACAAGGACCAGGAGTCTTTGTTCATTCATTTATTGAGCACCTGCTGTCTGCCAGGCACTGTTTAGGGTGGTGGAGACACACCCATGAACAAAAAGACAAAATTCTTGATGTTTTGATGTGGCCCCTCCCCCAGAAGCAGAGCCTGATGCAAGGATTCAGGGGCAACTAGTTTATATGGGTGTGTCCAGGAAGCTCCAAGGGGAGAAGAGAAAGTGAAAGGGATTTGGAGTTTTTTTAAATAGGATTTCTTTTTTTTTTTTTTTTTTTTTTGAGTTGGAGTCTCACTCTGTCGCCCAGACTAGAGTGCAGTGGCCGCTCCCGGCCACCGCAACCTCGACCTGCTGGGCTCTGGCGATCCTTCCACCTCAGCCTTCCGAGTAGCTGGAACTATAGGCGCGCGCTACCACCTCCGGCTCATTTTTTATTTATTGTAGAGATGAGGTCTCACCAAGTTGCAGGGGCAGGTCTCGAACCCGCAGGCTCAGGCAATCCACTCACCTCAGCCTCCCAAAGCGCTAGGGTTACAGGCTGAGCCACCGAGCCCAGTGGATTTCTTTTTTTAATGAAACAAAGTTTTCATTTTTATTTTACATCTGTATACATAAAACTTTCAAGGAACCCTCTGAATCCAACAGAATATTAATAACACATCTAAAAAAGGAACTTCAGCTAGGCTCGGTGGCTCAGCCTGTAATCCGCGCCTTGGGAGCCTGAGGTGAGGTGGATTGCCTGAGCCCGCGGGTTCGAGACCCACCTGGGCAACTTGGCGAGACCTCATCTCTACAATAAACAAAAATTAGCCGAGCGTGGTTGTGTGTGCCTGTAGTTCCAGCTACTTGGAAAGCTGAGGCAGAAGGATCTCTGGAGCCCAGCAGGTCAAGGCTGCAGTGGCCAGGAGTGGCCACTGCACTCCAGTCTGGGCGACAGAGTGAGACTCCAACTCAAAAAAATAAATAAATAAAATAAAATAAAAATAAAAAAGGAACTTCAGTAATCCCAGCACTTTGGGAGGCTGAGGTGAGAGGACTGCCTGAGCTCAGGGATTCAAGGCCAGCCTGGCAACTTGGTGAGACCTCTACAATAAATCAAAAAATTAACTGGGCGTGGCGGCACATGCCTGTAGTTCCGGCTACTTGAAAGGCTGAAGTGGAAGGATCACCTGAGCCCCGCAGGTCAAGGCTGCAGTGGCCGTGAACGTGCCACTGCACTGCAGCCTGGGCAACAGAGTGAGACTCCACCTCAAAAAAATAAAAAAATAAAAATAAAAAGGAACTTCAGGTAATCGACATTCACAAAATGTTGAAAACGGAGTCAAATGTAAATAGCACGGAGAGCTATGACTTCACTGTGGGGCAGTCATGTGTTTTTTGACTTGGATAGCACCGTCATTTATAGTTTCCTTGAAAGTAGTCAGTGGGAAAATATTGCTCCAATGTAACCTCTCTAAACAAGTAAAAATAGGCCGGGCTCAGTGGCTCAGCCTGTAATCCCAGCACTTTGGGAGGCCAAGGTGAGTGGATTGCCTG